ATTCAGAAAGAAAATACGTACATACATGTGTACAGATGTATACACCACCCACCACAGCAGACCCCATGAAAGCCTGGTCCGTGCTGTGTTTCGTTTTTCTGTCCAAGGCTGAGCTTCCATATGGATTCTCCAATGCCCAGAAAGGCTCAAGGCATTTCCATCAGTGGGGCATCACCTCAGTTGTCATCCTCTATTTAGCCCCCCTATTTCCATGATGCCTATAAAGCCATCTCTAAGTCCTTCCCCCCTCTCGTCTGAGTTGAACCAGCCAGCAGATCCAAAAGCTGCAGCAGAGAAAGAGGAAAAAACAGGCAGGCAGAGCTGTATGCACACGCTTGCATGTGCGCAGAGAAGCAGCATGATCACACGCCTTATTTCTTTGGGAAATCAGATTAAAAAACAATCGACTCTTTGCCAACTGTAACCAAGTCTGAACCATTAGCTGGCACTGTCTCCACCCAAGGAAGAAAACCTCATTTGGAGAATGCAAGTAGTTTTTAATCTCAGGGCCTGGAAAATAGTTCATCTCAGCAAAGCGGCAAGTGCTCTTGTCTCTGGATTTTCTCTAGCATCTTTCTCCCCATATCTCAGCAAACTCAGTTTGGGGTTTTTTTTGGTTTTTGTTTGTTTGTTTGGGTTTTTTAAGTTGTACAGCACCAGGAATACATCACATCACACAAATACACATGAGCACAGGCTCTTTATCTATAAGCACTTGCAAATGTAACAGAAAACAAGCAAAAGGAACATATATTTCAGTCCATCAACCTAAGCATTTCCACAGCCTCCATCACTGTGCCATCTGAACATTTTGTTAGTCCCAGGACTTTTCTGTGCCGTTATTACTGGCTTATGAAATTTCATTTTTGTTAGTCCCGGGACTTGTGTGTGGCTTTTTTATTATATTATGAAATTTCATTTCCTGTCATCTGCTGGGATTAAACTTTGATCGGAAGACACAGGTTTACGAGACTTGCGGTGACAAGCCTGACCCCAGAAGGTGAGGTGTAAAACCCTCCACCTCCAGCGGGTGGTCAGGGAATGCGGGATGCCGAGGCCAGAGCCAGAGCAAGTGACAACTGAGCGTGGGATGCCGGGCTCCTTACTCCCATGAACCCTACCCCACCTGTAAAACCCACTCCCCTGGGACACAGCGGTAAACCAAAGGGCCCCGACTCACAATTTCTTGCCCTGTAAGATCCTATTCTTCTTCCCACACTAACACAAGGCTTTATAAAGCATCTCAGCTCCCCCTCTGGATACATCGCCCTTCAGCAAGTGGTTGCAACCCAAGCCTGCAACTTCAGTGTGTCTCAGTTGTTACTTTCACTTTTCCCGATGGTTTCCCCTCCGCTGCCTCCATGTTGCCCATGTAACACCACGTTTCACAAAAAGGCACTTTGCCTTTTCCCTGCCACCTCCATCACCCCAGCTCTGGTGATCCCCCAAGCACTCCTCCAGCTGCTTCAGGCCGCCCCGTCTCCCCCCCAGCTACAGGAGCCAAAGTTGACAGGCAGCCAGAAAGGGGATATGACCTCTGCCATCCCATGTTAATGAATGCCCTCTCCAGAGGGAGCAGGGGAAGGCAAGGGGGATGGCACAGAGCCAGCCTCTGCGAGCTCAGCCAAGGGACACCAAGGAGCCGGGAGCACAGCACGTCAGAGCCCCCTCCACAAGGAGCTTTTGTTGATGCCACCGCTCCAGCCCATTGACAGCACGCTTGGCAGAGCAGGCTTTTCCACCACTTAGCTGTTGGCTGTATCAGTAGCCGGGTCGTAACCAGAGCAGCAGCTCTGCCAGGACCCTTGTGCAATGCTCTGAGGGTGTGCTACCAGCCAGAAGAGGACAAATGTGGACACACCATCCTCCCATAGTCCTCCCCCAGCACATGTGCCCCAAGACACAGTGACTTTCTTTTCAGCAAAGGCAGCTGGGATGTTGGACTCTTGGAAGCCCATTAGTCCACTTTAAGACTGGTGGTCAACCCAGCAGGCTGGCCCAGGGGGACTTTCCAGCCCAACGTGACATCCAGCCTTGTCAGTCCAACTTCACCTCTTTCTCTCTAGGAGATAAACCATCTGGCTGAACACTAGGAGACGCAGAAGGAAAACGATGTGCTCAGAGAGACTCACGAGGTGGTTTGGGTAACGCGTCCAACACAAGCACACAATGTTCTGCGTCCGTGACAAAAACAACAGGAAAAACCTGCTCCTGCAGGCCTGCCAAGCTGGGATTTCAACAACAAGTGGCAACATATCAGCTGGCGACAAACAGCTCCTGATTCAGGGAATGATGCACTTTCCAGAAAAGACTCAAGGTTTGGATTTTTCTTCTTAGTAAATGATAACATGCTGGGTGCCATACAGGATGGCTCCAGCCCAAGAATTAGCTGATAATGAGGGACCCAGAGGAAAGTGCCAGCTAAAGGAGATTTGGAGGTGGTTGCCAGCTGCACTGTCCCATACAGGGTGTCAGAATAAGGTAGAACCTGTACGTGAACCCCTGGAAAAGCAGCTCAGGACCACTCAGTAAAGTGATTTGATGATTTGGACAAGGGCATCACTCCATGAACAGGAAGCAGGAAAGGAAAGCAGCCCATAGTGAAAGAGGACACACCAGGGAAAGAGACACCCAGCACACACAGGACAAACACAAGCTTCAAGGTACCACTGCCAGATTGGAACGATCTGCAACAGCTCAGCTGAAACCCCAAAGAAACCCAAGGAGAAAGCAAGGCTCTGGACTCATGGACCTGCAGAGCAGCAAGGAAGGAGAGCTTAGAAACTGCATTTTGGAGAGCATGGAGGGGACTGTGACATTTCTTGTGGGGGTGAGAAATAAGTCAGCTACAGCCACCAGGTTAGACCATCACCAGGGTACCACCAGACATCTCAGCCACTGCAAGTGAATGAAAGAGTTGCATTTGTGTTGTGGATGAAAAAGTGGTGAGGTTTGGTAGCAAGCCTAATGCAAAGAAGGGAGATACAGGCTAAAGAGGCAAAGCCTGGTGGCATAGCAGTTGACAATGGCGCTATGGCTAAAGACAAAAGTGTGGGCAGAAGAGGTGCTGGGGAAAAGCAGGAGGCTCAGAGCAGGTAAGGCCATGTGCTAGGGAGACTGTCCACAGTGCAGGAGGACCTGCAGCCTCCAACGGGGAGCAAAGTTTAGGCAGTATGAGTAGGATGCCCATGGTGGTGCCTATGACAGTTGTGACTCGTTAAAGAGCTATCACCCTGGTTTTAAAGATGTATTTAATTTGTCAACTCCATCTCTCCAAGCAATGTCATTAATAAAACTTTTAGAAACTTTGCAGGGTTGCGGTTTCATATCAGAACTGGAAGAAATACAGCACAATGAGGAGGAAAGCAGGTTCTTCTAGCTAAACATTTTTGCGTCCCAAAAACTGCACACACAAAGACCCATCACAGCACCCCTCTGGTCTCTAGGAATGCAAAATATCCACTAAAACACTTATCCAAACACCTCTGAACATATACGTACATGTGTTCACCAAGACAGGTTACACACATAAGGTTCGCTCCTCTTTGATTCTTCTGCTAGGGTCAGAAGTTACTTTTCCTTTTTATATTTGTATCTCTAAGCCCCATCAGTGGCAGATGCCCAAGCACTTCTAAAGGGTTCTGACAAATCCCTCCAGAAGGCACATAACATCATCCCAATTTTACAGATGGGGAAATTAAAGCAGAGACAGAGGTTAAGACAGCTAATTGCCTACGGACACTGAGTCAGTAGAAGAGCTGGGAATTGATCCCAGGAACCATGTCTTCCATTCCTCTGCTCCACCCACCAGTCAGTACACCCTACCAGATGGTTCTTATCATTGGACATATGGACTAAATATTGCTAAGTTGGTGTAGAAGATTCGCTATTTAATTAAATGTCCTGTCTTCTGTCTCCATAGGATGCATAGGGGAAACTCCAGCCAGAATCCCATCTGGACCCACTCAGGAAACGTCTCCGTAAAGCAAAGCAAGCCCTAGGCAAGCACAAGAAACATTCCCAAACCTATCAACCTGCCCTGCAAGACTCAGGAGCCTCAGAAGAAGCTCATGTTTGTCAAAGCCTGGCTTCAAACAGGGTATGCATGAACCACCAGTTAGGCTGGGAACTACTTTGTCACATGAAGGCTCTTCCTCCAACCTTCACTGGGCACCACCAACACTGCCCAACTGGAGATACTAGCAGAGTCACAAAAAGCAGGTGGCACAGAGTCATCTACTTTCTTCTGGCATTAGCTCTACCGCATCAAAGTGCTTCTGTTGGTAGGACAGAGAGACCAGTTCTGCCTGGCAAACATCAGACGCCTTCTCGCTTTCCAATCACTACCAAAGACACTTGAAATAGCTCCTAAAGTGGTTATTCATGACACAAAGGAGCAAGCCTTCCAACAGAGAGGCAGCAGAAAGATCCTCCACACTGCTGAAAGACAGGTCAGCAATTGATTTCCCAGCGTGGACCTTACAGACTTATAGCAGCATCTCGGTCCCCATTCACAGACAGGCACAGAATGAGTGCATCTGCCTTTCCAACAGAACCCAAACCAATTTCACATCCTTCTGTTCCCCGTTTGCATCCTGCACTCTGCACCCAGTGCGACGCAAAGGGAAACCCATGCATCAAGTCTGCAAAAAAAGATTTCATCCAAGAACATGCTCCCCTGAATACAACTCCCTCAACACGCGGCTGGAAGGAGCAGGCTCAAAGCTCTTCCAGGCAACCTGTACATGCAGTTATGTACTGATAAGGAAAACATACGCATACTTCTGCCCAGCAGAAGCACATACAGGTGAGAACCATGAGCCTGTATATCTCCGTTACTCTCCCAACAAACAGAAGAGGGCTGGACAACATTCTCTTTAGAAGGCTTTGCACCAATACTGACAACGTAGGAATAAAATCACAACACCTTTCCACGTGTGCTATAAGAGCCGGGCAATCCTGGAAGGTGCCTCCTGCTAGAGGAAAGTGATTGCACGTACCTTTCATCCCAAACTTGGACCGCCGGCCATACTTGTTGATCATAATAAAGAGGACGACCAAGAGGACACAAGCAAAAGCTGCCAGCCCAACCGCTATGGAAACCTGAAAGGAAAAAGCCTTAGAGTCAAGACAGAGGAATTTAGGAGTCTAGATTGGAAATACAGCACCTCCTTGCCCAGTTAACCTTCCTGTAGGCTCATACCATCTGCTGCAACCCTGTGGATATCAGCTGTGGAGGAAAACACAAGCTAAAGCAAAGGGCCCTGGCACAGCTTGGAAGCATCACAGGCTGTTTGCAGGACTGGGAGGTCTGGGATCTTCCTATCAGCAATTGCTGTTCTGGCGCCAGTTCTCCCCAGCTTCTCACTCCATTTATCTGCGGGGAAGGAGGACCTCTGCTCCAATGCCTGGGATCTCCCTTCACTGCACCACATCGTGAGCCTCCATTCCCAACATCGCCACTTTGCCATGACATCACAACACTAAAGCTATACTAACCTGAGCTAGGAACGCACAGGAGCAGCAGAAAATTCTTTAGAAAGAGCAACTCTGTCTCCATCCAAACATCCCTCAGGACAAAGAATGAGGGAAAATAACACACCACAAAAGGAAAACAGAAGAAATTAAGCAGAACTGGGTTTTTTTCCCAAAAAACATTTGGTTTTCCTAAAGCCTCTAATGGTTCCCTATTTATCGTAATTTTTAGTAGTAAATATTTATACTACAACAGCATCCAAAGTCCTTCACTGGAACTGTTGTTCCACTGTGTCAGTGTAAAACTAGAGGAAAGAAAACCTCCTTGCCCTAAAGGGTTTACAGTCCCAGGCTTATTTTAATATTTATGAATATTTATTCCTTCAAGCCTTTGCTCAAGATACTTTTATTGCATTGATGTAAACAACAATTTCTTTGGCATTGGCCCAATTGTTCTCCTGTACTGGGTCTTGTGATGCATTTAGACTTCACTTCCTTTTACAAAACTGTATTCTGCTATAATAGAAAACACGTCATTTAACCAAGAAAAAGTAATTTCATTTCACAACCCTTTTCCCTGCCCTTAATACATTAGCTACAATATTTTTAAATTTTTTATTTTACCATGCTGTATTTTCATCGCCCAGCTTGTTTTCTCGCTTTATATTTAATAATCGGTGCACATTATTACTCCAGTCTCACCGTTCAAACCTTTCGCTTCAGTTATAGGAGATTTTCAGTTGGCAAGGTGGATTGAGTTTTGTTCATTCTGTTAACATCTGGTGGGTTTCAAGATCTTAACACTTTCACAGAATTAGAGCAATTGTGTAACATGCTAATTTTCTTCCCCAATACTTATACATAATTTTTTTTTTCTTTTTCTACTTGGATTCTGCAGAAGAAAGACAATGGTGAGACCTGATAAGCCGTAGGCTTTCTTTCCTTTTTCTTTTTTGGCACACCCTGCAGAGCAGGAGGGAGGGCAAACTGGCATTGACAAAACTGAACCAAGCTAAATCCAAGTCCCTCACAGGGCTAAACTTAACAGCTCAATAATAGTATGAAACACACTATTGCCTGTTTGTTTGTTCTCTGGGTGCTACTTTTTTAGAGTGAGAATTTCTGACCCTGCCAGCAGCAACTTCACAGGATGCCTTATTTTCAAAGAGCTCCCTGGTTCCACACTGCAGACCCAAGAGGCTCAGATGGTACATGTCAGTATTTTACTTGCCTGACACAAGCCACAAAATACTTCTGATTGTTGTCTTGAGTCATAAAGGAAGAGATTTTCCTTGCAAACATCTCAAAACAGCACCAAAATGTAAATACTGAGTCATCAATAACAAGAAATGCATGCAAAACAGTTCTGTAGAGAAGAGGAAAGGACTTACCCCAAAAGTGTCCTCCTCTGGTTTGTGGGTCACAGTGATGGGTGGGGTGGGACTCACTTCATAATCACCGACTGAAACCAAAACACCAAAGACAGAATATTCATCATGGCTCCCATGGGACTTCCAAGGCACCTGCACATCCCCAGTGGCAGTGCCTGACCTAAAAAGATCCAGTTCACCCCTAACAGAGGCTGCAACTCTCTATTTCAGAAGGCACCAAAATCAACCATCAGAGAGTTCCCTGTGCGCATCAGCAGAGAAAACACAGACCAGGACAACACTGATGTCACTCCAACCTTACAAATGAGAAACATTTGGTTGCCTGGTGTTCCAGGGTGGGTAGCCTCCACTGCTGAGCTATCTCCTAGAGTTTTTGGAAATCTACTGGGCTAAGTAGGGTTAAAACACAAGACTAACTCCAGCAGAACTTGATCCAAAGGAACAGTTACTTAGATGTTTTTTGGAGGGGAGCAGGTAGGGACAGAGAGGAAGAAGGGAAGAATCTGTTGAGGAAACACTACAGAATTTAAGTCCTGCTTCTCACCCCCACCCACACTAGAAAGCATGTTGTAAATGGGCCATGACACACAACTGCTTTGGGGACTGGCCAGCCTGCACCTAGTTAAGACCCCTTCTGCTACACCACAACCGACCATCATTTCCACTAAAGGACCTTCTTCAGGACATCACTAGAGGGAAGTGAGCATCTCCTGGGCTCTAGAGATTACCCAGCTGATCAAAAGCTCCCCAGCCATTTTGCTTATACATGGGGAAGCCAGGGCTTTGTGCAACCTCCACCAACTTGCTTTTGGCTTCCTGATTTTTTCTCCAGGAGCATGTAAGTCACAGAAGGGCAGGGGGAACCACAACAACAAAACACCCACAGTATGCAAAGGGCAAGGAGACACTTACTTGAGACAAAGTTGTCCGTACTCTCTGTGGAAAGTACAAAGAGAGAAGCAACACAGTTAGCAGTACAGCAAAGGAAGAGTGGTCTCATTCCCAACCCACCTCAAACACACTCCACGACCCCAAAGAGTGCAGGAAACCAACTTTTCATATTTGTCTTGTTGGGCAACTGTAACTGGAAATTGCAGTGCATGTGCCAGCAGGACATGCTGGAGGTCACAGAGGAGAGCACAGGGGTAACTGTGCAGGACCTTGGGTGAAACAGGAGGGGAGGGATGCTTCTGCAAGGCCAGAATGGAGAACAATTAGCAGCATGCTAACCAAACTTTTGAATGGTCATTAAACAATCCTGCTTTCAGCAGGCGAGCAAAGCTCAACGGACACACGGGGCTCAGCAGGATGGAGGTGAAGGGGAGAGAAGCAGATTTTGCCTTGCATGGCAGGGTTCACCCAAGGAGAAAGTCCTACAAGGATGAGGACCAGCTCCCAGGAAGACGAGCCCAGCTTGGGGCAGCGGGTTAGAGGAGACCTCCTCTGATCAACTTTTCATGAGCCACTCGTAAAAGCTAATAGCATCTGAACTGGACATGGAGGCTGTGGCTGTCCTAGAGCTGCCTCTTGCCTGAGACAGCCATGCCAGTCCCTGCTGTCAGCCTTTTGACTGCTGCAGTCTATTCAGCAAAGCTCCTTCAGCTCCGAAGGCGGCTGAGGCCCCAGACGATGAGGTCTAAAGCTCTCGGTGACACTCAGTTTACATAGCATGAGAATAACATCAGCTTTCAATTCACTCGCCCATGTAAGAAATTGAGCCCAATATTAACTGGAGTTTACACAGCTTTGCTGGCAGAGGGCTCCTGGAAGGACGCTGAAATGTTCACGCTGAAGTATGGGTGAGGTTTGGAAGGGAAGCGTAAAACAACCCCTGGATGACAAACACAGCTTTCCAAACCAGGGGAAAAAAACTGAAAAAATATTTTTGTTTCAAGTCAAGCAGAAGAGTAGCTTTCCTTGGCTTTTTCTAGCAAGACGGGAGGGGAAAAAAAAAAAGAAAAAAAAAAAGAGAAAGAAATATTTCATTTGGAGACTTTTTTTTCTTTCCCTATTGAAGCAGACAGAGGCTAGTCGTAAAACTCATGCTGCCTCTACATTTTCCCCTTTCCATTTTTCTCTACTGGACCAAGCAAATTCAACAGAAACCCACAAAAAGTTTTTCCCACTAAACCCTATTTTTCAAAGTACAAAACACAGCCAAGAAATTTCAGCCAACTTGAGTTTTGTGAGAAGTTCCCGAAGAACTGAACACTCTTCATGGGAGAGATAGGTACATTAGCCTTTGTGGATTAAATAAGGAGATGATAGCCTATGGTAGAGATGTCAGTGTCAACACACGATGAGATTTTTATTAGGATGTAACACAAATCTGTCCTGGGAGCCACTGCCCTGGCTCCTAGAGCCACAACATCACAGAGAAGCAGGATATAGCATGGGGCACGTGTCCCAGCTCCCACCCAGCTTCTAACAGTACCTTTTCTCCTCCCAACCTGGGAAGCACAATCTGGCACAGGACCAACGAGAGGTTGCAGACCAGGGGTTTCTAAAAAAACATGGTCACAGGTCCTTCTCTATGCTGATAGGAAGTCTTCCAGGCACTACACTTTCATTAATTAATTAAGACTAATAATCTCATCCTGCATAGTGACAGCAAAACCCTTGCAGGTGTGAATAGCTATAGGCAATAAGCTTCTTGAATGAACCACAATGGGGAACCTTCAATTTGTGACATTTTCTGGAGGAATCTACCTTCAAATGGGAAATTATAAACGTCAGCTGCATTGAGTGTTAATGTCAGCTGTGGCAGTGGACGGAACAACGAACTTCAAGGAAAGTAAATTACATCCTGCATTGGGCTGACAGGGTCTGCCAGGGTGAGGAACGGCTTGGGACTTTGGATCAGAAGAAATAAAAGAAATGGTTCAGTTCATGCTGAGAGATGGTTCAGGGTCAGTAAATACTCCACACCAACAACACACACAAGGCGTGGGTGAAGATGCATTCACAAGGGCAATATTTTGCATATATTTCACACAATCCCATTCTCCCAGAGCCTCTGACACAAGAGGCTCTTCAAACATCAACGTGCCTTCCCACATCACAGCACAGCTCAGATCCATTTCCAAAATCAGCTCTCCTGAACAGATCTGCCCCCTTTTCTGGAGGTCCGGCACCTACTTAAGAGCTGTCCCCATTTCACAGATGGGGAAATTGAGTCACAAAGGTGGGACCTGACAGAGCTGAGACTGCAAACCTGTGCGCCTCTCCTCACCCACCTACATTTGGTAAGCTGCTCTTCTGCCCTGACAGAAGGAAACATAAATAGGTCAGATAGCCAAACAGGGCATCATCCTTGAAGCCAAAATACAAATTTTCCACTCCCATCCATATCAGATCTTCAAGGCAGAGATTTGGGGTTACATTTACAATATTTGACCTGCGGGAAAACTCTGTGTGCGTATATGGTGTGATATAAATAATAAATGAGAGTACTGTTGGTATTTTTCTATATTTAGCGAACGCCCTATTTTGCTGGATTTTCTTGGGCTGCAGGGGCCAATTTAGAGCTGCCACTTTCTCATGCCATCATTCCTGAAGGCAGCAGCATGCACAGATCTTAACTCCATGATGGCCAGCGTGGCGTTTCAATGCCAGAGAGCAGACCAAGACCCTCCACACTCCTATAAAGCAGACAGGTCACTGAAAAAGTCTCTACTGCACTCCCCAGAGCTGCATCTTCATGTCCTCAAATGCTTTTTTTTTTTTTTTTTTTTTTTTTGTTTAAGCCCTGAATCACTATGGAGTACAACGGGGAATTCCAAACAATCAGTTAAGAAGTCCCAACAAACTGATGCAAAGCAACTAATTGAGCCGTCGCATCTTTTGTAGACCTGTCATTCTGGAAGTGCACATCATATTCAGAAGGAAAACAATCCTGACACTGCTGCATCCAGCTTTAATCATTTTGCAAATGCATGCTAGAAGAAAAAGGGAAGAGCTGCATCACTTCAAAGGGCTTTCCATTCTTTAGCTTATAACTAGCAATCATATAGAAGAATACTTTCTCTGAAAAAAAAAGCAGGCAACCTCTTTGGGGGACCCCAGAGGAGATCCAAAATAATTGACCAAACTTGCATCCCATTCCCACTGAAATCCCTAAAGAGCTTAAAAAGAAATACACTGCAATATGTTACACAACAAAAATATCTAAACCAGTTAGTGTGTCTCTCTGCATTAAAGAGTTGTTATTACACCAAAGCACACTTGAGTAAGAGAATGATACTGGTCAGAAGAGGCCTCTCCAGAGGTCACCTCTTCCAACCTGCTGCTCAGACAAAGGCCAACTTGGGTTGCCAAGGCCTTGTCTAGGCGTGAGAATTACTGGTGGGACCACAGTAAGACCTTTGGATTGCAAGCAACACGAATGAGATAAACTGATATCCTACCTGGAAAGGGTTTTTCAAGGAAGTGTCCTTTGATGGTTTGGTTGGCTGAGCCCAGCTGGTTGGTGGCCACAATCGTGTAGTTGCCATTATTGTAGTGAGTGGGTTTGTTGAAGAGCAGGCAACCCTCAGATACTTCCCCTTGTTGGTAAAACTCCATGTGGATGATCTCTGTCTCCCGGAGGACTTGGCCATTGTGCAGCCAGTGAAGGGTGGGAGCTGGGTTCCCATGCACTGCAAATGCAATGCAGTGCTCCAGGTGTAGCACAGGCTCCTCCAGAGTTAGGATGCGAGGGGGATCTAGCAGACAAAAACATGGCAGGCTCACAGCACACCTCCACCCACATCATGTCTCCGCGCACCATGGAAATTAAGATTATTGAAAACGCAACCTCCAAAATCCCTTGTTCCTTCCATTTTCCCCATGGATTTCTGCAAATAAGCAGCACTAAGTCACAAGAACCACTCCACGCTCCCCGGAAGGAGGATCTGAACCATAGCCAGCTCTCTTCGGCTTCTCAACAGGGGTACAAATTACCAACAGGGATGGTCCTTTCACCAGCCCAGAAACAATTAAGCTTAGAGTTGCCCAGTCCACACACTAACTGCTGCTCTCCTTCCCTCAAGGGATCACGAGGAGGCTGCCTGTCCCCGTTAAGGAGGACACCACGACGAGCACTGTTACATTACACGTGCGCAAGGTGCCCATGGGAGCTCTCCAGTCACACTGAGCAATTTTGGATTGCATAGCTGTGGAAGCAAACATCCCTCAGCGACTGCCTGTCCTTGGGGGTTTTGACTGCCTGAATATCCCAAAGGACTGCTCACCCGCCGAACACCCTCCAGGGGTGTTTTAATTAAGGGGAGTAGAGTGGGAGAGGGAAAAGAAAAGCAGGACTCCACATGCAATTTATTGCATATGCATTGTCTTCCCGCTGGGACACCCCAAGAATTCAAATGTTGCTCTGCCATCGCTTCTGAAACCCCGTTTACAACGCCTATATGTAAGGTCCCAAACCCCAAGGCTGGCAAGGTCTGAACTAGAAGAATAGAGTTTTGTGCAAAGACAAAGGACACAAAAAGATGAAGGTCTTCCCTAGAACTCTCCTTTTTCTGGTACCATCCAACTTCAAAGACAATCCATGGGGCATCCACAAGGAACAAAAAACAACGCACCAACTTTTGCCCATCTTTTGGAAAAAAAGACAGTGAATTTTTCAGGCAGTGAAGGTAGTAGAAGAGAAAAAGGTGCAGAGCTGGTTAGAGCTGAGCGACATTCTCCCGCCAGCATCAGTTACCCTGAACCACACAGCCATGTCCCAGCCACCTCCTTTCACTTGCAAGCCTAGATCTGCATGTGGCTTGTTCACATCTTCCTGGCAAGGAGGATTCAAAACAGGCAGCCACCTACACGCACAAACCCAGATCTTTTCAGCGTGCAATTACAGCCTGAGTGATGGGACTGGGCAATAAAAGCACGGGTAGCAGAAACTGTCAGCAGCTTAGAGGATTACATGGGTGAAAATAGGCATCAGCATGGTGCTGTTTAAGGTGTGGATGAAAAGACGCTACAATGCAGTGCAAAAAACACCTGCCTGCTGACCAATCACCTCTGAGCTGATCTGAGCTTTGATTACCTCTATTCTTCAATCCATCAATAGTACTTACTGGGAAGAAGATGAAAGCAGTCAAGCATCTGCTCTTCTTTTTCCTATCCCTTGTGACTGCTTTGTCTACAGGACCCCAAGGGTTCTGCACTGCACTGGACATGCAATGTGCGTGAGTTCACCAAGACTAGCCAGAATCATGCATAGGTCTCTGCTCTACCTGGCAAGGCTGGGGGTGGGAGACAGATTTTCAAACTACAGAGTAAGGGCAAATATTACAGACACAGCAACATATAGTAAATCTCAGCTGCTTGAGAGCACAAAGCTGTGTAAACTTCCTCTTAAGGTCAGGTTTGTGCTAAGTTATATTAGAAAGCACAAGAAAGTTTAGCTACTTGCAGCTAAAAGTGAACTGTTGAAATTTGACATGTGCATGTTTACATGGCATTTGCAGTTTAACTTTGTAGGAACAGATCTGGGAGGAAGCACTAGCATCCCTGATATCAGAGGCAAGATTTACACTGGCTTTAGCAAGGGTGACATTTAACCTCCCACAAAGCATCAGGGCAAGCAACTCCGTGTTTGTAAACAGAGTTTTAGTGCCTTTACAGCTTTTCCTTACTCTGCTGGATCTTCCAAGAGATGGTTGGAGAGATGTCCACCACTGGTGTGGCACTGCTGCTCCTCCCCTACTCTAGTGCTCATTTCTACACTAATGGAAGCAGCAGGAAAGCAAAAATATTGATGCTTAAGAGGGAATTGTGCAAGGATGCACCTCCTCCTCCCTGTGTTCAGCTCCTAATCCTCATGCACAAAACCGGTATGTCAAAGGTAGCAAGTGGTCATGCATTCAAATGGTTCCCAGGGCAGCCCTCCAGCCTCTATATTGTCAAGGTCTCTCCACTGCTACTTACAGTAGACAGTGAGCAGCACGCTGGCATTGCTCATCCCCACCACATTCTCGGCAATGCAGGTAAGCAGGAACCCGTTGTCCTCACTGGTGACATTCACCAAGGTCAAATTGATGGCATGAACATTGGTCCAGTTGAGGTTGGTCTAAAATCCCAGAGAGAAATACAGACAGAAATCAGTGTCTGGTGGCTCCTCTCCTCCCCGCTACTGTGGCCAGAAGATGAGGATCACACTTTCCACATAAGATGTGAGAAGGTCTCTAAAATCCAAGGACAGCTAGGACCTGGGTGCAGAGAGGTGTTTCCTCGCTTGATTAAGTGAGGAAACCACATCTTGTAAGAGGAATTACTGGGAGGGGGAGACCCACAGCATTGTAGCACTGATAAACACAGCTTGCCTCTAGAAAAGCTTGTTTAGCTGCCTATTTCAGCTACAGTTATTTCAGACACCCCTGTAAACAGGTAGTTTCATCAGAGGAGACATGAGTTAATTCAATTAGGGAGCACTGAGATATGAAGCTATCTCATCTTCAGTTTCCAGCCATACAGAGGGAAGGTTTTGCTGCTTTCAGGTAGTTGCCAGGTTCTCATGTGGATAGGGTACGGCCTCAATTTTCCTTTGGATACAACCATTTCACATTTCTTATAGCAGTTTCCACCATCTACCTGACCCTCTGCCCTGCGTGCACAGACCTGGGGAACACATGGCAGCCGTCTTGCCCTTGCCACATCAGGCGCAGGCAGCACTGAGGTGCTGTGGCCCCTACCTGGTGTGTGTTGATGGAGTGGAGATCAGCCACCGTCCAGTCGACATCGGGCAGCGGCGAGCCTGAGCCATTGCAGGTGATGACGGCGTTCTCCCCTTCTCGCACTGTCAGGTTCACATGGCTCACACTGATCTCAGGGAGGTCTAGGAGAGCCATACACCAAAGCGCTCAGGTGTGGAGCAGCGTTTGCTATAGTCAGCCACAGGACACATGTGTGGACCCAGATCCCACCAAGCTGTTTCCCAAATCAGCCTCCAGCACCCTGGGATAAGTAGCAGGAGGCAACAGCATGGCCTCACCTTACCAAGTGAAGGAGGGGTATTGGAGATAGGGGGAAACGTAGACACTGGAGATGTGCCAGCTGAACAGACCTTCCCATCACACTTGAATCCAAAAGCTGGTGTCCAGCTCTGGCTGCGCTTCCCTTCACACAATCCCCATCCCCATCTCTTCTACTCCCACAGAAGCTGCTCTTGAGAGCCGTCACCTGGGATAGGAAAGCTGTGTCTGCTGGGAGAGGATCCAAAGTGTTCCCACCTCCAGGGGAAGGTGCACAGAGCACCTAGCACTCCAGCTGAGGAAAAATGTCCCCCTAATTTATAACAATCAAGAGAAGATGACCAAGGATGTGTCCTCATATTAACTGCAGCTCTCCTAATAAAAGGTGCCCTTGTTCTTCCTTGGTGGTGGCAGAGAGATTCACTGATTTATGGTGGCTCTGATTTACTCCACTTCCTTACTTGCAGCCACAGGCGCCAAATATCCTTGCAACATAAAACAAAACAACGCTGGTTGCAAGAGGAAGGGCAAATAGCCTTCTTGCATAGAGGAGGCTTTCTGGGTTGTTCGTAGAGTCAAACGGGGTAGGCAGGGCAGGGGAGAACGGAGCCATGGTCCCCTGCCATCATAGGGCAGCAGCATCATCACGCCAACCCAGAGCCACAGATGGGGATACACCTCCTGTCATTGCCATCAAGGAGTGACACCAAGAGGGAAGCAACATTGTACTGATTTGGGGGATGCCAGAAGAAAGGAGGCAGTGGTCAAGGCCTGGCAAAGCTGCATAGGTGGCAGGAATCAGTGGAGAGGGACATGGGAGGGACACATATCGTCTCTCCAGGTTGAGGTAGTATCACACATGGCCACACCAAGTCACGCCAGCCCTCAGCACCAAAGGACAAAGACAAATGGGGTGTTGTTACAACATCCCTTGAGTCATCTTAATGCCTGAACAGAAAGACTCTCCTCTGGAGGAAAGCAGATCAATGTGGCTCCCTGCCCTTCCAGGTCAGAGGAGGTGCTCACCCTGCACACCAGCACATTCGTGTTCCCAAATCAGTACCCTGCTGTCCCCTAGAGTCTAATACCACCATTGATGGAGTCAACTCTACTCCCTGTCCCTGATCCCTAAGGATTTTTTTTCCCCTCTAATCCTTGCAGATTATTCTTCCCATGTTGGGAGGAAATTACAGCACTCTCTCAAATCTTTTTTGTTCATCCACGTGCAGGCACGCTTTGGCCAATTTCCAGAGCTTAATAAAGGGACATCGTGAACTTGGGGGGGGGGGAGAAGTCATGCAAATCCAAATGTGCGTGCTGTTTGTCTACTACTGCTACAAGAAACAAACCTGAATTCCTAGAACAGAGGACAATCATCAGAAGAAGAAAACCTCTGGTTTTCCTCCTTTTTTCAGCCCATGAGTTTGACAGCTGCTTGCATATAGACAGTTTAATTGTTCTGCTGAAGGTACACCTCCTTCCCCTTACTCTGCAAGGGATGCTTGCCAGTAATGGCAAGAGCAGAGCAAAAACTGACACCGAACAGGCAGCTGATGTGCGAACAAGGTGAAGGAAAATGGGATAACTATTGAACATGCCTCATGTTGCTCCTGGGGCCACTGGACTCTTTTAAACATCAGCAGGAAACAGAAAGAGATATAAAGTCACTCCTGCTTCTTCCCTACCGATATGGGCTTTCAATTGAAAAAATAAAACAAAACAAAATGAATAGAGACATGTATTTCCTAAGAGTAATTACGAAAGATACAGTAGCAATGTCTTTTAACAATATGCTGTTTCTAGGATTTATTAGACAGAGGAAGAGCAACATGAAACATATCTCTTTTCAAGACACCACATAGACTCATCACAGACACTTTGTCAAGCAACAGCATGACAATCACCCAACAACAGCCCCAAATCACCCAATACCTTCACACACACAGAAACAGCAGCCCCACATTACCTAGATAGTCTATTTTTAATCCATAAACTACTCCAATCAGCTTCAATCATCTCATTCTTGACCACATGGTGGGATTCTGCTACACCAGGTTCCCCAAGCAAATGGTTGAACCAGATAGGACTGGACTCCCTCCCAGCACCCTCCTGGCCTCCCTCGTGCCCAGCCCCAGGAGTCCTTACCACACTGGGTGATGTTCATCTCCTGCAAAGGGATGATGGCTGCGTCCATGTTCATGCAGTAGAGCTCCTGGTACTGCAGGTTCGCCTCGCCCTTCTCCTGCCAGAGCTGGATCCAGCGGATGTCGCAGCTGCAGTTAAAAAGGTTCCTCTCTAGTCTCCTACGGGCAGAGAGAGCATGAGAAAGGATGGTGGGGTGGGGAAGGATGAGTGGGACCATCGCCTGGCTCCAGGCTCCCTGAGGAGGACAGCCACCGTGCAGATGCAAGGGGCCCTTCAGAGCTAAGAGAGAATCTCCTCTGTGTTATCTGCCTGGGATCTTCTGGCACTCGTTATTCATGTCTCTTCCGCCTCCAGAGAGACAGAGGTTACACATCCACACGTTCACACAGTCTCCTTCACACACACACACACAAGGTTTTACATCTCCCAGGGCAGCACATGGATACATGCAACGGCTTTCATCACAAGATCTGCACATCTGCAGCTCGGTACCACAGTCATCCAGACACCCAAAACATTCATCCCTCAGCAAAGGAGCAGGCAGCTCCACGCTGCCCTAAAATATTGATTCACATCTTCAAAGCCCACTTCAGTGGGGCTCCAAGACCCTGCTGGGCAAAGCGCACCTCTAGCCCCCACAAGTGCCCTGTGAAGCTGGCAGCTCTTCTCGCAAGTACCTTGAATGAACACAGCCTCCTGGTGACCCTGGACACAAGCTAATGTGCAGGGTATCATGCATTTTAATCAAATCAAACAGCACTGCACTGAGACCCTGCTGACCTGGCCAGGAGAAATGGAAAAAAACACTGCCTTTAATGTACTTCATTTAAAACACACTTACACATAGTTTATATACCAGGAATGTTTATTATAATTGATTTTCCAACCTATTAACCATTTCATTTACATTTTTAAAGCCCTGCAGCTCTCTGTGGAGATGTGAGGAGGGCAGGTCCCAGCAGAGAGGAGAGCCCAGTGCTCAGTGAGGACAGACTGTTACCAACGTGGGTTGCAACAATAACTTGAGCAAAACAGCAGATACAGCCTGAACAAACAAAATATCTCCCCAGGTAACCATGAAGAAGGAGAAAGTAGGGAGCAGAGGAGCCAGCACTGCAAAAGGTGAGCTCAGTCACCCCAAAGCAGAAGGGCATCTCCAAAGGTCAAACCATTGCTTCACAGGTTGCCTAAATCACTCTGTCACACCAGAGAAACTGTTTTTCTGGTCTGTTCCATGTGTTACTGCAACATTTGTGCTTGCTTTTACAAAATTAATTCCACCAACCAACAGGATTTAGAAACAACCTTCCAAACATATGCAGGTGCTATTTTGTCAATACAGTACTGCAAAAGGAGGAGGAGAAGGAGAAGGGATCTTCTGGTAGCACACAAGTGTGTTAAACCTGAACCCTAATGATGCCACTTTGAATCTTTTTATAGAACAAGATGCCATCTGACCTTGGTTTTTTTTTTTTAGAACAAACACCGAGTTAAACTTCACTCTGTGGCTTTTCCTTAGTTCATTTCTTTCCCGTCAAAAGTACATAAACCTTTGCAACACAGGTACAAGGCTCAGACAAGCAACTCAAAGGCCAAAGCACTAAATTTAACAGGCCAGCGCAGATTAGTGCAGTGACTTTGTGGGATTCGAGTTACGAGGCATTCCCTGCGTGCTATGATGGGTACTGCATGGTACTCTTCAGCACAGCCACGTTCTCCTCAGGATTGTCCCAACGTCATGGTATGGCATGTGGATAAGAGCCATGGACTTAGCTAACTTCAGATTGGGTAACCGGACTTGCAACCTGGGACCCAGCAGGGAGCTGGGGAAGCTCAGAGGCAACAGGGGAGAAATTCTGCTCCACTGCAAATACTCCCATGAAACGAGGCTGCTAGGGACAGCCGCTGCCCTAGCACTTAAGGGCAGCTCTGTAAGTAATAGACAGCAGCCTTTCTAGCCCATTGCTAATTCACAAAGGCCCATGAATAATGCAGGAGCGGCAGGCTTCAGGGCAGAACTTGCTCATGACCTGCCCCAACATCAGTGGTGTAAACTTGCTCTAATCGAAACCCCCACGGGGCCTTTTGCACAAATTAACTCCCATCACCAGCTGGATGTGCCGAGTGCCACCAGCACGTGGCATGGCACTGCGGGTGAAAGGGACCCAGATGTGTACACCCATTTTCCTTAACACACATTGCAAAAGTGCTCTTGACCTGCAGGAGATGCCCTCCCTCCTTGCTTGGTGCCTGCCCTGCCAGCCAGTTCTCCAGAGACGTGGGTGGGGATTTCCATGCTCACACTGTCCTGCACCTGCCCAAAAACCTGGACCTCCCTTTCTCTCCTCAGACCACATCCATTGCAGGGATCATTAGACGCTGCAGCTCCTTCTAGCTCTTCTTCCCACAACTTCTGTAACACATCTCCACTACCTATGACCCTCTGCTTGCCGAGATAAATGCACCTTCCCTTCTCTGCAAGGAGGAGGAGCACCTCAAGGACCACAAGGTGCCCTTTGGCCAAAACCCACTGTCAGGCCAGAGGACATCACCATGTGCTGCAGAGACGTCTCCCATCACAGCGGGAAGAACAAAAACTGGTGCTGAAAGGCACAGCAGGACAGCCAAGAGGTCTTCAGTGCTGCCACGTGCTTAATGGGTGCAGCAGCACCACAATGAGAATTAAAGCCAGGGGCTCCTTCTCGTGAGACGAATCCAGCACAGCTTACTCCCGGAGAGGACAAGTAAACCCAAAGGGCATTTTTCGCACGTAGCCTTAGCCTGGAAATGTTGCCAAAGCATCGCTTGGTTACAGGCGCTCAGGAGCCGTGCACACTCCCACACCTTCTGAAGGCCTCGTTAAAACTGAAAATGCCTGTGAGAAATAGCAAGTACCACAGCCACAAGTGAGCTGGGCTCTCTCTGCACAAGCAGAGCTGTTCTCTGCGTGGAGGAGTTGGCACAAAAAGGGACCAAACCTCCACACAAGCCAGAGCTATCCACCAGCCCCAGGCAAAGCAGAGGCTTGCAGCAGGGTGTGCTCTGGGCACAGCTCCTTCATGAAGCGGGCACACGGCAGGGCTTGTGTTTGGAACTGAGGAAAACTGGGACAATCAAGCCCTGCACTGTCATTCAAGGGGACAATGACAGAGTTGAAACCCTAGAGCAATGCGGGCACCAAGTCAACTCTTCAGAGACAGCGATGCTGAAAGTGCCTGGCTGAGCCCAGCTTTGCTCCCCACAGAAAGCTGTACCCACTGCCTCCCAAACTGCCTGGACAACCTACACCAGGGTGGACCAGTGTGGGAGAGGGATGCCATCAGCATCCCAGTACATACTGGGACAGAGAGGACTTCACGCGTAAACAGAACAGATTTTTTTTTCAGGCTAGGCAGCTAAATGAGACACACGCCCTGCCCCATGCCTCCCCACAGCTAAAACAAAGCTGTCTGCTGCTAAAGCCTCTCAGAGGGCCGTGGAGATCCTTGCCATGCTTCTCCTGTCTGTTTTGATTCACATAAAACTGCTGCCAAGGTTTCATACCCTTGCAATTAAAACACTCTCCTACCTCGGGACTGAGACCGCTTCCCTAAGCTTGAGAAACAAAGAGCACCCAGCAGAGAGAGAACAAAATCTATTTTTCTTTTTCATTTCTATTTATTTCCCAGAACCAGGGCTTCTCTTGGCGGTCCAGCCAGAACTGTTATTTCCAAATCCCTGCCAGAAAGGGATGGAATAGAAAGGGAAGAACTCAGACAGGGAGCGACGCGTGGCGTCTGACGGCTGGATTAGCTAATGCAGAGAGCAGGGAAGTATCCACTGTCTAGCTACAACTCTATTAGTGTGACTGTTGGCGGCAATAAGTTTTTAAGCTAGAGGCACAGATGATGTTAAGTTGGACTCAACATTAACGGAGATGCTGCTGTGCCCCATCCCCACCAAAGCCTCTTGCTATAGCATTGCAGAAATCTACTGCAGGGCAAGCTGGCAGGGACTGCTGGTATTAGAAATGCTGATGGGCCGGGCAGAGCAGCAAGATGTTCAGGACTACAAGGTTTTATACAGCTAAAGATGTAATTGGATCCAGAGTCTTAGGTCTTTCCGGGAAGGAATTTCTTGAAATGTCAGCCCTAAGCTCTCTGAGGACATGACAAAGGAAGCCAAGGACATGACAGAGGAAACCAGCTGTGACTTCTGGATAAGAAAGGCTCTAAGTCCGATGTTTATGAGCTGTTGCATGTGTCAGATGCTTCCTTGTGCACACTCAGCTTCAGACTTAGGAGAGCTGTGCACGCATTAGCTTGAGCCTCGCCAGTCAAGGTCAGCCTGTGCTGTGGGAATTAGGGCTGGAGTTACTGGAAACCATTCCAAGCCTTGCTTCTGGCCAGGAAGAGAAAGAGATAATATTCTTTGGAAGTGTGCCTCATTTTTGCCATCCATTCTTCAGTGAGTCAGCAGGGGAAAAGCTCAGCTCTGCCGAACAAGAAAAAAAACTCTGTTTTAAAGCAATACCATCTCCCAGAGCTTGAGATGCCTTGAATGCAGCCAGGCAGCTGTTTCAAGCCCCAAGTTCCCATCCACCTGCCTGGTCTCATAGCATGGCATGATCTTCACATTAGTCACCAGTTCTTTCATCCTGTGTTCACTGTGAGTGGCTTTGTCAGGTCTCATGTTCTCTGGCAATCTCCATGTCACATCAGTTGTAGTTTCTCTCCTCCCAACACTCTCCTGGAGACAATCCTCCCATCGCTTCCCTCCCCGCATGCTCCACTGCTCCGAGCTGCCTCGTTGCAAGTCACGGTTTTGCCTTTGATGACTATCCTCCCTCTGGATCCATGATCACTTGGTAGCACTGGGGCACTGGTACGCAATAGGAGGTGCCTCTGGTGAACGACTGCAGACCTGCACCCGCTTGGCCCACCAGACCTCCCCGTAGACCTAACCCTGTTGAGAAGAGCAGACTCTTGCCAGCACCTCTGTGTCCCTGGGGTCTTCTGGTCTCTCCACAGCCATGCACAAGTGCTGCTGTTCAGCCTGCCTTCCTCAGGCTTGCTGCCTCTGCATCAGTCTCTGCTGCTTACCACTTTCTTCCTTTCCCGAGATGTTTGGCTCAGCTTCAAGTCCTTGGCTGATGTCAGTCTGCAACTCCCTTTCTAGCTTTCACCAGTGCTTCACACTCACTTTATGTGGGCCATGTATTCTGTCTCCTTCCCAGATTCTGGAAGCCTTCTTGGAGCTCAGTGTGCCAAAAAACTGTCTTCTACTCACCCATCCTCTGCATTTCTAAAAAAAATACAATATTTCCCACTTTTGTGCATCCATTACTAATTTCTCCCAATCTTGGAGATTTGCTTTTCCTCATCAACAGGTCCCATCCTTCTAGTACTCAGGACCATGACAACCTCACAGTAGATAACATACGTCTTTAACTTAATTCCCAACATCTTTACATGAATGATTATTCAGAGCCCATAGCTCAGGGTCTGCCTCCACGCTGTCTTCTCTCAAACAAATACAAAGTCCAGCAGGACAGTTTCATGGCCCCAGGGAGGACACTGCAGGCACATCCCCCTGCCCCATTAACACTGACATCCCAGTGGGTATCAGCTAAAACATCCCTCTCCCATCATGCTTTGGGGAACAGTATCGTCACGTTATTCTGGTACTGACCGTCCTACCTGTGTTCACATGGATGGAGGGTCCTTACAGAAAAGGAGCCCAGAGGGGAACTTTTGTCAGGAAGCACCAGTGACAAAGCAATTCTTCAGAAAAAAATAAACTTGACCAGCCCAGCCAACAGCAAGCCAGACCCTGCAGACCCATACATTTGTAGGTCTAAGTTGATCACAAGCTGGTGCCAGAGGGTCATTTGCCAAGACCCCTTTCACAGCATGATGGCAGGAGAGGTCCGGCCCAGTCTTCAGCCCCATGTGGTGCCAAGCCTCCCCACGGGACACTGTGGACACCATGCATCACATCACTGCTGCTTTCCCACCCCGTCACTTCTTCCTACCAACCAGCCCTGCGATCTCCCACATTTCTATCTGCATTACTTCCTTCATCAACTGGGGCTTGTTATCTCCAAGAAAACCACCCTAAGCACCGCCCCACCTGGAGCCAAGTAATTCAAACCTTCCTGTTTGCCAGGCTGCAGAGCTCTGGCCCCAAGTGACTCTACTGATACCAGCCAAAGCCAACCCAATCACACCAGCTTCCCTGTTAGGATCACCATAGCAGGACAACACAGATGTATTCTTCATCAGGTGGGGACAAGTACACTTTGCTGCCCAAACAGCAGCATCTCAATTCCCTTTGTGCTTGGTATTGGTCTTTTGAGCCTGACTTGGGCTGGCAGACCTGGGACAGGCCTGAAGAAACATAATATGACCAGATGAAACAAAGCCACATAAAAACAAGCCCTGTTGGAAGTATTCCCATTAATCTGCAGGCTCGCCATTACCCCAGGCCCCGCCAGTGCCTCTAGCTCAGGACTGCAGCCCCGTTTGCTCCTCCACTCTTGGGTCACAACCATCAATCTGAGTTTTGCCAGACAGTACAATGACAATAAGTAAAGGTCTAAGAATACAAATGACTCATGCTATTAAACTTGAAACCTGAGCCAGGCTTGAAAAATATTTAGAGCTGTAATCAGCGAGGAGACAAATTCCAAATTCAGCATTTTAACTCTGCAAGCCAGATTCCCCATCAGAAGGGCGTTTCTCTATTTTCTAATATCACTATTAGTATTTTTCATTTAACAATTTGACAGAAATAAAATACACTGCAGTAACACCGGTGATAACACACTTACTCCCACTTGAAAGACTGTCTTTATTCTTTCATAAGTCACTTCTAGCTTACAGCTCTATTGATCATCAGTGAGGATGAATGGAGCTTCCCAGGATCCTCTGGGACAAATCCTACATATATATATTTTTTTATACCCACCAAACAACTATTTCTAAAATTCAACAAAACAGGTCATCAGGGCAACGCTCCATTGATTTCATGTCCACTTATTCTTCAAGCACAGTGCTGAATGCTCTATCAATAATTTAGCAGGCTGAAGGCCACCAGAGCCCCAGGAGAGACACTATCTCATCCACATCGGAGCTGGGAGGTGCCTCGATTGCTAGAGAGCAAGGGAGTCATTCACCTAAAAAGCATGGGTGTCTTATAAAGCATGTCCATCAGCTAAAGAAAAACAGTTAGCCCTACCCTACAACAGATGAGGATCAAGTATTTGAGAAGATTCATTCAAAATCTGGCCTAGTAAAGTGTTTCTAATGTGTTCCCAGAGTCAGTCAACCGTTTACTACCCCAAGCATGACTTGTTCATCATCCTGACATTAATTAGCCAGCTGCTGCGAAGTTAAAAGAGAAGCAGTTCTGCTCTGGTGCTCCCATACTAGGGAAACCCTCCCAAGGATGGTGCTGCCCACTGGAGTTTCAGGTAATTATTCACAGGCTTCAAAATAGCTCTATTTGGAAATTGTTCCTCCTCTCAGCCTCCCCTCTTCTCCCAGGAGATACCTCCAGGGCGGGACTTACAGTTCAAAGAGTCGCAGGGTCTGGAAGAGTTGCCATGACAGAGTAGTGAGCCGGTTCCCAGAGAGGTCTCTGAAAATTAACAAGAAAAAAAAAGTAGTCACGGTAAGTAATTCCTCCTGTATGTGGCCCTACCGCCTCCACAGAGCTCATCATCCTCCTCAATGGGGAAGCTGTCAAGCAGTTTAGGACCCTAGTTTAGATTTCATAATGAGAGATTTTAATGAGGACGAACCCAAATGGAAGTTTCTCATTTTACTTTTTTTTTTTTCCCAAAGGGGAAAATGGTTTATATCCTGCTGCAACATTGAGGGGAAAAAAAACAAAAACAAAACCAAACAGAGCAAGATATGTTTGATTCTTGCCCGTGAAACTGGAGCTCAACCAACCATAAGCAGAAAGAACAAGTCTAATTTCATAACTTGAACAGAAAATTAAGTACAAACTTCACATTAAAAATAGTAACAGCCAGGTTCAAATGACAGCACAATGATTATCCAAGGTGTTACCGTATGATCTGCAGTAGCTGTGCGCTTGAAGTGTCCTGGTATGGCTGTGTGTTGATTGCACCCAGAGGTACCACTGCTACAGCAGCCAACAGCTCCCCATCCCTCTCTCCATCTGCCCAAACTTGCAAAGAGATAAACCTCATCTACCTGGGAGAGCTTTGCAACCCAGCAGACATCACCTTTTCAGCTGAAAGCCAGAGAGGATGAAAGAGTGTAAAAGCAACCGAAGTAAAAACAAGAGGGAGAAATGCATTTGGGGCAGAGTGAGCAGAAAGAGAAAAGCCTCAGGTTTCTAAGGGCATGAGAAGATGGTAATAAAATGCTTTCTGTAGCGGGCAGCCTTGCTGGGGACGCCTGGCCAGCCTTAGAGCCACCAGCCGAGAAACCAGCCCATGGGGTGAGCAGAGGGATGGGTGGTCACAAGCTCTGGCAGAAACCCAAATCCTCCCATATCTATGCTGGCCTCCAGAAAACACAGGAGGTGATGTTTCGCATCCTTTGCTGAATGTGTCCAGGCGGGCTGTGAGCAGGCAGGGCAGCTCAGCACGAGGCTGCAGATGTCCTCCTGCCTCTGCCTTGCTCAGTGGAAAGAGTGAACCACCTGGAGGTTCATTAAACCCTCAGCTGGCCAGAGAGGAGGTATGGGACAAGGTGGCACAGAAGTGACAGCAGTCAGCCCAGCTGTGCTGGGCTCAGCCCACAATCCTTGTTTGATTTGCAGAAACATGCTAAAACCAAGAGAGCAAATCCTGGAAAGGCTCCTGCCAGTGCAGGTCTGATGCATGAGGATTTGGGATGAGAGGTTCATTTGTTGCCTTACACCAGGTTGCAGCAAGGGCAGACACACATTGGACAAATGCAGAGGGCACAGCCCAGGGACCAACAAGGGAAAAACAACTCTGGTCCTGTCCCACCTGCTACCAAGCGATGCTGCAAAGCTCAAAACTCTGCAATTAGGAGTGGGGAAGCTGCTGCAGCTCACACAGCAAACCATCATCCCAGAGGCTCTCCACGAGCCTGGCAGAAAAATAAGCCCAACCACCATGATGGCACAGTGCTGCATCATTAAATTCTGGCTCAGCTTCACATCAGACTATCCCGCTGTGGAAACCATGGCAAACCACAGGTACCTCATTTCACATGACTAAGATCCCACCATTCCTACGGCTGTAGACAAACTGCTTCCAGCCTCCACTAAAGTTTAGAAAGGTGGCAAAAATAGCAGGTGAAGCTAAGCAGGAGGAGAAAGAAATATTGCAAAAATCCCTCTTTTATCCACCCCGGAGCACTGAGCACCTGGAAACTTTGCAAAGACAGATGAAAAGTAGGAGGGGAAGGAGAAGCTCGCTGCTACTGAAAAGCAAGACAGTAAACTCCCTCCCCCAAGCCAGGGAGAAGAAGGAAGCGTAAAGGGGGATGCATGAGAGACAGCAAGATGTGGGAGAGAGGCAGAGATGCAGAGGAGGGAGTGAATCTTGCTGGAATGTCCTTTCTCAAAGGTCATGTTTTGCTACATTAGGCAGAAATGTCAGGAGAAAATTGGATTCTGAAAGAGAAGAGAAAAAACAACAGGCTTTCCACGCAAATAAGGGAATCAAAAATAGCATGATCGTGTTATTACAATTTAGGACACAGAGAGATGGAGAAAGGAAACATCCTCACTAATGCAAGGAGCTTTGCCAGGCAGATGTGCCCCGCTTCTCATCTCCTGCAGTCCCTGGAAACCAACGCCTACCACCTCCTCCCCTCAGACAACAAACCACAGCAAGTATTAGGCAAAGAGGAGATGGGTCTTCACTTGCACACATCTGGCAGGAGACTCGGCTCTCAAAGGGCAAAGCCGGTGTCCAAACCGACCTGACCATCAACTTCTGTAGGGCTGGTCAGGGGAACACAGACCAACAGCTCTGTTTCAGATTGGCCAGAACACACACACAGGGACAAACGTGTTTGTCATTGGAAACAGACACCTCAGTTTAAAATGTCAGAAAGGTCCTTGCAATGGACTCTTGCAAAGGTCCCTGATCTCAGCACAGAGACAGAAAGGGGCTGCACACAAACACACATTAAAAATACACCATTTCAGTCACAAAAACTCCAAAAGTCAGGTTTGGGTTTCCACACACAAAGGGTACATCTGCTGACTGCTGCTGCAAAAGATAGAGAGCTCCTACAGAGAAACCTCACTGCACAGCACTGATTTCTCCCCAGAATAGATCCATCCCGCCTGCCGGATGGGGCAGGTTTCCTGGGGAAGATAGCGTGTGATTGTGTAATTAGAGACAGTATCGCAGTACATGCACACAAAGAGATTAAATTACAGCTCCACAGGTGAAGCTCTGAGCTCCGGTGCTTTGTAACTCCTGTTTGGCACTCATGAGGTTCCCCCTGTGCTCAAACCTTGGCTGCGTGCACCGAGTTTCCCAGTATTTTGTAGAGCATAAATAGGGAGGACAGGGGAAAATCAAGGCCCTCCCAGCCAGGACTAGACCTCTCCCAGCTCCAGCTGCCCATTCTGCCTTCCCACTGCTGTTTCCAAGGCTGAAAGTTTGTTGTCATCTCCAAATTCCCATTGTTTGCAGTGACCAGAACCCCCATCCTCCTGTGCCCGTGGCTGGGCAGTGCCAGGTCTCTCCTCCCCAACAGTTTGCTTTCCTCCCCACCCGGCCACTTGTCCCCAGCAGGCTGAATCACACTACCCATTGCTCTCCAGCCACTCCCAAATACTTCTCAGCTATTCTCAGATATTTCCTTATCCATGCCCAGATTTCCTGTGATCTTACTCATTTTCACATTCTCCCATCCTAACCCCAGTGTCACAAGAAGAGCGGCCGCTCCTCATCTCCCCTATTTTCTTCCCAAACATCCTTTGCAAAACTTCTCCCCTTCAACTGGATCAAGAGCCGTTCTACCTATGTAAGGAGACATCCCAGAGCAAAATCAAGTCTTCCAAGCAAAATTTCCCCTTTGACAAAGTTTCTTCCTCTCCACAAAAGGAGAGTGCAGGTGCTCTGTAACAGGAGCATCACCAGTATTTTCTAGCTTGAGCAAAACAGCCTGCTTCACCCCCTCTCTTCCACCACCTCAAACATTTGAGCAGGTTTTTATTGAAACTAGGAGGAAATAATCTAAAAAAATTAATTCAGCCAGGAGCAGACACCCAACAGAAAACTTCAGCCTAAGCAATTAGAATTTGGCAGAGTTATAGGAAAGTGGAAGCAGTCCTGTACTGGAGCATGCCAGACAACCTTTATAACAGCCTATGCATCAGCTCCACCTGTAATAAAATACAGCACATCACACATCGAGGAAACACAGCAGGAGTGAAGTGAAACGCCTTCCCTGTGTATTTCTCAGCAGTGAACGGGAGCCTGTCTCTCTCAGGACAGACCTGCCGTCCACACCTCTAGAACATACTCAGACTGCTTCTTTGGCATGGGACATTTTCTCCATCACTCACACAATGTTATTTTCCACAGAGACAGTCTTTAGAAACAGCTGCCAGGGTCCTTTTTGCCTCCAGAGCAGGTTTCAAAGGAGTTGGGTAGGGAGAAGGGGTTGGATGGATCTCACCTGGGCCAGGTCCAGGAGACAGCAGACACCCAACCCACTCGTGATTCAGGCTCAACATCACTCCGCTCTCCAACTGCCGCAGCAGTCATGCTCCTAAGCCTCCTGCTTTGCAGATGGCTGGCTCATCCCACCATATCATGCCATATCCCTACCAGCCTTCTCCACCAACAACCCCATGCACACCTCAAAGGCAGATGTTATCACTGAGTGACAGCAAAGTCCCAGTCCTTGCTCTCTCCCTCCATCTATCCTCCTCCTATGTTTCAGGAGGGGACACGTGGTGCCGTGCACACTCTCCCACAGGCACTGTGGAGACCTTGCTGGGGACCGGCAGGGGAGGGGAGGTGAGCATTGCCATTTTGTCCCAGCATGAGTGACATATGGGGCCATGGAGGTACATCTGCTGAACAAGTTCCTGTGTTTAAAAAGGGATGAGTGGGCGTGGGACAAAAAGAGGAGTCTGGATCCCTGCGGCCCAGAACAAGTGGACTTCAGTCCAAGAGGAGACGGCATGTTTTCTTTCCCCTCAGTTACCCAGCAGCCAAAAGTGTTTCCACTATTAAAGCCATTTTTATTCAGCTAAATTAAGCCAGTTGCCTCATTAATGACACCAACAAGCAGGAGCCCCTGTAATTAAACTGTAAGCTATATTATGCAGTTCAGCCCAACACAACAGCAGAAACGCTGCTGCTGAGGAGGGACCCTCTGCGCCTGTCCCTCCTCCGCACATCGCCATCCTCCACTTGCCCTTGTTTCCTACCTGACACATTTACTTCTGCATGGAAGAAGTTTTTCACACGTCTTAATAACACAGTGCCACTCTGAAAATCCTGATTGGGATTAACTGGGCAGAGCAGCTGGGGCTGAGGGAGCACGAGCGACTGCCTGCCAGAAATAAGAGGCAAGATGCACATCCTCAGCTGTGGCCCACAGCGCTGGATATGCCAGTGGCACCGCGTGGGACTCCCTTGATATGCCCTGGGATCTGGG